CATGGGTTCAAACTCATACTAATACAGAAAGACCTAAGCAGTCACAATAACCCAATTCAACATTTTGAAAAATGGTGACTATGAGGGAATCAAGCACACTTATCTTGTCATTTCTGTCCAGCTATTCCACTGAGTAACCAAGTAACAGATGAGGTAAAGCTCCTCTTAGAGCAACACCTAATAAACAAAGATAATAAGGAAGGAAAAACAAAGGAGTCAGAAACAAGAGGAGAGCACCCTGACTTCTCAACCCTTAATGATTTAAGGGATCTAGTCCACGCTCATCAACTACCACTGAGGCCATAAGAAGATGGTGTCCTGATGAAGTAAGGTTAATACAGCCAAACTCTGCAAATGCCGCCTTTGTAGTCAATCCACAGAGAATGCAGAGAAAGTGCTCAGAAACATAAAAGACAAATGGAGGGTAACTTCAGACAGTGACAGATCTCACAGGAAAAGTGATCTTGTTTCTACAATATATGTAAAAGGGTGGAGTAGAGAAAGCAAATCTACAAATATGAAAAGAACTCAGCAACTGACAGTAACAGTGTATGGACACTATTTGTAAAGTGATTCAAACGAAAAAAATTTAAAACACATGGCAATTATGACACAATAGAAATAGGAAGATTGACTTGTTATTTGATATCAAAGAATCACTGTTACTTTTTAGGTGTGGGGATGGTACTGTGGTTATAGTTTAAAACAGGCCTTCCTATAGAGAACACCACCATACTGTGTACTTTAAAAGCGCCAATAAAAAATAAAAAAAGAGAAAGCATACTGTTTTTAAAAAGTAAAAGATTATATAAAAGAAAATCTTTATCTTTCCCTTCAAAAAATCAGTTTCTGTGGCTTTATATTAAGGATCCCACTGATCAGTCAGGCATGGGTTCACATCCTTGCTCAGCCACATACAGGGTGTGTGACCCTGACCAAGTTACTTGCCCCCTTCCCCACTGCAGCTAAATGGTAAGTGTTCAGTCAGTGCTAGCTACTAGTCTTCTTAACATCACTGCTAAGAGTCAGAGACAGCACTGTGCACTTCTGCTGATTACAGGTAGACTGGTAAAGTAATCACACAGGTTATGTGACATCCCTATATTTGTCACCACCCTACTAGCAACAAACATGCCAGTGCCACAGCTTCACTTCTAAATTCTGTTCTCCAGTAGAAGGAACTGGAGCTCCTTGGAGAAGTGGCTGGTTCTAGGACTAGAATAGCAAAAGTACAAGACAAGCTGGAGCATCTCATGGTGGTGCCCAAAGGTAAGACACCACTCAAAAAGCAAACAAGAGAAAACAGCCCAGAAAAGACTAGGAGCATGTGAAAGGACACAGGGCCCAATGACAGAGTGTCTATGGCGAAAATAAGAACAGCGTGGGAAACAAAATAAGTAACAATACAACTAGATTGTAATTCTTCCATACTGAAGAATTCCAAATAATGTAGACACCGCCCCAGTCCCACAGTGGAGATTAATCCCCCACCCCTTGAATGGGGGCTGTGTTTTGTAACTTTCATAGAAAAGAGTATGGAAATGGTAACTTGGAGAAACTTGTCAGGCACCACCCCAACCAAGTGATCAAGGGCAACATCAACAGTGAAGAAAGATACCAGGAGGGCACCTCAACTCTGGTATGCATCCCCAGAGCCACCATAAGAAAACAGCAAACAAATCCAAACACATAGACACAACCACCAACTGCAATGTGAGATCTTGGACCAAAAGGGGACTTAGTGGAAAAATATGAACTCCAAATAATGTCTGCAGTATAGATGTTAAGATTAGATTTGACAAACATACAAAGTTAAGGAATCAGTATCAGAAGAAAAGAAACTAATGAAGAACACAGGAGAACTCTGTATGACCTTTGTATGTTTTCTGTAAATCTGAAATTATGCAAGAGAAAAGTTTATTTAAAAATGCACTGCACTGGGTAGATATGATATAAAGTATAAGTTTTTATGTGTGTTCACATGGTTTCTGGTTCTAACTTTTGAGCTAAAGCAGCCATATAGTGTTACAAAACCCAATCTGTATCTGCTACTATTATCAGAGAAACCATAAAAAAGTCCAAACAATAAGGTATGATTATATACAATCTGTGGGACTGATTGGTCCAGATGTTTCCAAGAATTAAGAACGAACATAAACCGAGAGCCTATGGCTCATACCTATAATCCTTGCTGCTTGGGAATCTGAGATTGGGAGGATCACAGTTCAAGCCTAGATCAGGAAAAAAGTGGGCATGGTGGCACATACTTGTCATCCCAACGCAGCAGGAAACATTAAAAATAGAAGTGTTGAGGCCAGTCTGGGCAAAAAGCATGACCCACTCTCCAAAATAACCACAGCAGAAAAAGACCTGGAGGCATGTCTCAAACAGGAGAGCACTTATCTAGCAACAGCAAAGCCTTAAGTTCAAACCCCAGTACTGCTCCTCCCAAAAGAATGAACACAAAATCATCCTCAAACCAAGAAACTTACACTGCCTAAAACACGCCCTTAAATGTATATTATTTGGCAAAAATTATAAGGTAAGATATATTTTGAAATAAAAATAAAAATGCCTATACTAATTTAGTTAGCATTGAAGAAGAAAAAAAAGTAACAAAACCTCTAAAACTAAAGCAGTTTATGTTTGATGCATTTTACCATTCTATAAGTATCTTTTAGGCCTACAACAACCTGGGAGGTAGGCTGAATGGTATTATACACATCTTGCCAGTTGCAAAGATTTAGGATTAGGAAGATTATGTCACAAAGTTTGGTAGAGAAAAAGTGCCATTGCAAGAAATGGAACCTGGTTACTTGGACTACAACATTGTGGCTCTTTCCCTGACCTACTTAGTAAAATGACTAAGACAAAATAAACTTGGGAAGTAGTGTGCAGATGCAGATATACAAACGCAAACATCTGTCATAGAAATTACAGTCCTGAGATGGAAATGAAAACAAAATCTTTCTTTCCCATAGAGTTGGCTAAAATTTCAGTGCCTTATCACCTGCTAGTTTGGATTAATCTTTTATGTGAAAGAATTCCTACTTTAGCTGTTACTCTTTCACTATCTGACAAACACAACACTTTATGAACCAAAATTAAAATAACAGGGGCTTCAAAAGCAAGCAATCTACAGACAATTCCAAAAAGGGGCCTTCAATTCACATGCTTTATAAATTTGGGATCTGAATGAGCTTCTTTTGTCCTTTGAGGAGGACAAGCTCTTCAGTTAAATCGCAATTGGGCAAACAAAAGAATGCAACTTTGATGAGAGTTCAAAGTCATGGGCAAATTATCTTCTTTTTTCAACACGAGTTCTAATATAAAATGCAGGGCATTGTTCCCAATCTCTACCTGTTCTAACACACCTAAGGATGCAAAGGACTTCGATTATTAGCACTCCTTAATTGCCAGAGTCTGGAGGAGAAAGAAAGGATTTGGGGAGGGCCTGCTAAGCAGTTCACAGAGTGCAACATGCCAGTGTGGCCCTGCCCTCACCACATGCACCGAGGCCACACTGCAGAAGCTTGTTATTCACACTGCTTCAAAATAGTGCTCCACAATAAAACTGAACATCATCCCTGCCTTGCCCACATGTGTTGTGATGGAATCAAACCTCTCTAGACAAAAATCTAAAGTTGTTCACCATTTGAAATATCATGGGATCCTTATTATTCATCTACACTTTTGATCCACTGACTTTGAAACCTGCATTATAATGAAAGCTTATTATAATGATTCATAACCTAAAAGGAAAAAAAGCTCATTTGCTCTAAAAAAGATGAACATCAAAAACTCATTCACATCCCTCACAGAGCGGAAACACAGCTGGCTTGATAAGGATCTTGCTACATCCACATGAATGCCTGACCTCCTCCTCAGGCCTCAGGAGATGACCTTGGGAGTGCAGACAGAATGCTTGCCAACTCACATTCTCTTCAGATGTTTCCCACCTTCAAGAAATGGCTTCTGTTTTATCATTTCTGACTTCAAGGCAAGCCGGATTATGTAATAAACTGAAGTTAAAAAATAAAAATGATAAACACATGGATATATGTGTGTGTGTGTCTATACAAAATCTCAAATCGCCAATTAAAATTTCCAATTACCAACACAGGTATGAAGAATGTCACTGGTTTATGTGCTTTTGCTGTCACAGATGAATGCAAGCTAGAAGTAGAGAAAGGTTGCTGGAGCTACTCTGTACCCTCAAGAGCAGTCCTACGATACAGCTTTCTAATTTTACCCCTCTAACAGGAAGGAGCTTGTGAGGTGTCAGAATATCAAAATCAAATTTCAAGCCACTTACCTCTAATGGACACATTCACTTCACAAATATTTCCACATATTGAATAGTGTATTTAATAAATAAAGACTTTCCTTAAATTTCTATTATCTACACTAAACACTTTAACTTTGCCATATAGTGTAAACTTTTTTCCTTTGATCATTTTATATTTCTCTATAATTTGCAACTCTTTAAAGTGCAGTAACAAAAACTGGTCAAGCATCTCAACATGGTATAAGCTAGCTAAAGAACAGAAAATGTAGCTCAGTGGTAGAGGGCTTGCCAAGGCCCTGAGTTTGATCTCCAGTGCAATCAAAAACAAAGAGGAAAGGCTATATCCATGACCTTGGATGCCATATTCATTAAGAACCTGACTATTTTCTAAATCTTCTGCAGCTAGTGATCATTCATGATTGTAGCTTTCTCCTCCCTTCTCTGATACCTAGCCTGTTCTTCTCCATCCTATATTTATACGGTTGGACTTTTTTCCTTCAACACACCATCTTGCACTTAATTCACTAAATTTCATGATTTTCAAAGATCATTTACCATAGAACTTTATAGAAATAAGTATGCAATTTATAGTAACTGCCATTTATACTTTAAAATACTAGGAATATGGAGGTATGTGATAACCAACAACACAAGTAATTTCTAATAAATAAGAACTAAAGACATCATGGCATTAATGCCTACTGAAACCTACCTCCACTGGACAATCACTTTTTACCAGGGCTACACGTGCCCTTTGCAAGGAGCCATCCATTAGCTTGTGAAGTCTTAGAATTAACTTCCTTAACCCCATCTGCTTCAGTGCTTTGTCTACAAATGGCCTATAAATAGAAGTCAGACAATGCCTGCTGAAGCCTGCTTCGGTGCTGCAGTCTGCTGCTCCCCAGCACACAGACTCCTCCTCAGATTCCAGCCTCTCAAGCTTCCTGGATCCGCAGTCCTGTGACTGGGTGTCAAAACCATGGTTGACAGATAGCCTGAGTTCTAGGGCCCTTGCATCGGAGGTTTGCTCTTCTTCACTCTCATCGGTACTACTTTCCAGCTCCTTCAACTCTCCCTCTGTGTCATCACCCTCATCTTCTGGTTCATTGCCTTTGGATGGTCGAGGGGAAGGGATTTCAAACACTGGCCAGCCAATGTCTGATAAATTCTTGATGCCCAAAACAGTGCCCATAATCCTTAACTTCTGGTTTAAGTCTTTTGTGATGTTTAACCACAGACAGAGTGCCTGCACCCGGTCCTGGAAGTCTTTTGCAGCGTATTTTTCATAGTCCTTTTGGAGAGCCTGCAGTGAGGGATAAAGTGCTTCTATGTACTCTAGCAGCTCCATTATCCGTTTTACCTGTTCAAATGAGACCCTCTGGCGTTGGAGATGCTCATGATATGTTGAGTAACCCACACTCTGTGCTCCATGAAGGGCCCTGCCCTGCCCTTCTATTAAAGTACCATTGAAACTAGCTCCATTTCTGACGAAGGCAATGCTTGCATAATTAACTTTGAAGGTAAGGATTTCGTTGATAATATCTGGGATGGCTTGGCGAGCTGTATATAGAAAGAGGTCCTGGTCATTAATGGTCCGGCCTGCATGCCAGGCTTGGAGCTCTAACCAGATTAGTTCATTTGATCTGTTAAACCAGAAAGCAGATGTATTTTCTTGTCCTCTTTGCTCCCTGTCCTTCTTCTTTGAGACTGAGGTAAGCTTTAACAAAAGTCGTAACGTTTCAAAAAACTTCAAACGATCTGCAGGACAGTCAGTCCTAGAAGTCTGGCGTGCAGGTCTGGCTATGGGCATGGGCACAGAGACCGGAAGCTTAGCATTGCTACAGCCAAGGCTGAGGTAAGGCTTATTGAGATCCACATCTGGAATTGATTTTTTTGGCAAAGACCCACCCACTGAGTCTAACATGAATGAGCACTGTACATTTTTCTTATGATCACGCTCCGTTGTTCTAAGAGTGGCTCGAATCTTCTTCTCCTGCTTATAGCTGTATTCTTCCACACTCTCCACTGCTCTGCCAGTGTCTTTAAGTGGAGGCTGATTTGGTGCATTCATTTTTTCTATTAAAAAATAAATAGAACATTATGTAACTCTAAAATATGAAGTTACTCAATATTTTAAATAAAACTGAAATTCACATGTACTTACATTTCCAGGCTACTATTGAGGGGGGAAAAATCTATCATACACTGAGTATTTTTTTAATCAAGATATATACACAGCATTTCTATTTTTTTAAAGATTTTATTCCTTTTCCTTGCTTTGTTATACTTGTATTCATTCATACTGACAACTACTAACCTACCACCTGTCCATTTCTATACTACAGAATGCAGTTATCACAACTAAGCAGTCACCATCGACCGAAGAAGGGAAAAATGGCAAGGGAAATCTGACAGGCCAGGTTCGAAACAACCTCTGCCTGCCCAGTGCCGCCAAGCACATATCCAATCCCTGCCTTTGTCATGCCAAGTGTGTTAACCTGAAGCAAACCATTCATGTTCTGGGTAGACTGGCATAAGAACGCTTAAGGCACTCAGACTCTCATAAAAAGCAGTACGAGAGCAGATGAACAAAAGTGCTGCCTTAATTTATTTTATTCCTTGGTTTCTCCTTTGCCATAAACAAAGGAGTGATAACATTATAAATCTAACATGAACAAAACTGAAGATATATATCCTAATCCAGTATAATTTGCCTACTCTACCACATGGGAACAAAATTAATGGAAAAAAAGCAAATATCACACACTGCTTTCAAACAACTGCAAAGGTTCTATGGATTTAATTCCAGGTTTTGGAACACACACACACACACTCACTCACTCACTCACTCCTTCCCACCAGTACTTTCAGCATTATTAACCAGCTCTACCTTACTGAAACTCCAGCGGGTCCCAAATACAACTGTTTCTGAGTTCTCTTCTACTTTCTCAAGTCACTACTTCTCATAACCCCTCCTTAAAAACTTTGCTCACTATATAAAATGTTAATGCTCCCTAAAGTTCCAATCTTGAGACTGGATCTCTCTGCTTCTCCCTGGTGATCTCCTTCCCTCCCACTTCAGATATTGGTAACATCCAATAGCATAACTCTAGTCTCTCCTCGATATTCAGGATGTACCTTATTTCACAATATTTTAACACTCCTTAAATCAGAATGTTACATATTCAATGGTGGCATGAAAAAATTTTAGGTACATATACACCAATGTATTTCATTTATACTGTGTGTGTGTGTGTGTGTGTATAAAGATAACAAATGATTTTTAAATTTACATCTAAACATTAAAATGAGCTGTTTAAATAAATAAAAATAAAAGCTCTAAGTAGCCAGGCACTGGTGGTTCACACTTATAATCCTTGCTACTTGGGAGGCTGAGATCCAGACGATCATAGTTCGAGGCCAACCCCAGGCAAAAAGTTCTCCATACCCCTATCTCCAAAATAACCACAGCAAAATGGACTGGAGGTGTGGCTCAAATGTAGAGTGCCTGCTTTGCAAATCTGAAGCCTGAATTCAAACCTCTCTCCCACTGGGGGCAGGGAAGCTCTACATTAAGAACACACTGTGTCATCAATTTCATTTTTTTCTTAAAACGACAGTGTGTCTTTAGATTTGATGGAATCAGGCATATTTGCATGAGCTACAGAGTAATACACCCAAAATCAATGTACCAAAGAAAATTTGTTTAAAATCAATTTATTTCCTAATCAACTCAAAGTACTTTAAAATAAGGATTTTTAAACAATTTTCCTAAGAGCACTTATAGTTTGGTTTACCTTACATTGAATTTAATTTATGATTCATCAAAAAGAATTTAAAAACAATCTTTCTGTAGAGCTTTTTGTTATGTTCTAATATAAAAACTATTATCTGTAGTGTTAACCTATTTTATTTATTTCTAAATGCCTTAAAACTTGTTATATAGTCCACTTAAGTAAATTTCTTTACAAGTTTATTATTTCTACTTAAAAGTGCTTACCAATCCTTATTCATGAACAAATTTGTCTGGGCCAACCTTTAAGTTGCTCTTACTTCCTCTTCATTTTGTGTAACTCTGTGTTCCTCATACCTTACTTTGCAGAGCACATACATACCATTTCATTCCTATTTAACAGAGGATTTTGACAACAAAAAGGACAGGTATTTCCAAATTTACTCCGCTTTATTTTTCAAGATTATCAATTCAAGTATACTTTGCTACTAAGAAACACAAAATGATATATAACTGTGTAAGATTGGAAGTAAAGAAAAGAGTTTAGTTTCTGATACACTAAATTTGAGGTACCTATGAGACAGACATGCAGATACGGCTGTATGTAAGTAAAATACAAAGGCTGGGCTCAGGAGAGAAATCCAGACATATGAATTTGGAAAGCATAGCAGACAAAGATATTACTTTCTAGCAGCACAGTACATAAACCAGCTCATCTAAATTAAGACTAATGGAATTACTCATCTCCCACGTGGCTATAACTTAAAAGGTGTGTAGCACAATGAAAGCATAGCCCTCCCAATCACCAATAACTACTGCCAAATCAGAAGAACATGAAAACAATTTAAAAGAAGTTTATAACTAGAATAAAAGCAGCCAAGAAAAGAGGCAATGAGGACCTAGAACAGAATGCTGTATTGTAGTGTGTGCATCCAAATAAATAGTTCTGAGTTAAGGAAAGTAAAACCTTGTATAACATAAACCAATTTTGTTAGTTTAGCATTTAGGATAAACTTTATAAAACTAATGAGTTACGGCATTACTGATAAACGGCCACAGAATGTCTACAGACAATTTATAAGTAATAGTGAACAGTGAAAAACACTACTTATCGTGTTGTTCTCTGACTTAAAGAACTAAGGGAGACAAAGAATCAACGTAAATGGCTGGGGAGGACCTCCATACCCCAGAAGACTGGCTAAAAACACTGTCAGATCTAGTTTACCAAGGCAAGACTGTGAAAACAGGAAGAGATGAGGCCTCTGAAACTACATCTTTATGCCGGCAACTAAAAGGACCTGAGGGGGAAAAAGTGCCACAATCGGCATTTCTGTATAGACAGCATTCCATTTTAGCAGATCTGAAAAACTAATTTTTCTAGGTAATACTGCATAAATGCAAATCTTGTTATGCTTACAAAACAATGTATGTACTACACAATTTTTTGAAATTTATATTTACATAAAGCAGTGATTTAATTTTTGTATCTACAGTGGGTATAGAGGAAAAAGCAAAGTAGGAAAGAAGAAAAATGGGATAAACGGGCTTTTTTCCAAAAAAAAAAAAAAAAAGCCAAGTTAGTTTTGAAACAACATACATACAAAGTAGAAATTCATACATCTCAGTTTAAATAATAGTGCAATTCAAACTTAAAACAGACTTAAGCCCCAGTCTAGCCACTGTGTAAGTAGTAGTTATACCAGTAGTTAGGCTGGGGCTTAGTCAATTAGTCTATCTCAGCTGTAAGAGTAATTTAAAGGTTGGCTATACTTCTTAAATAATATATTTATGATAGTGTGAGTAAGCACAAGTATGTTTTCTAGCAACTGATGACCAGGTACACCTCTACAAAATCATATGGGACCCATCAATTAAGAGATCTGGGAAACACATTAGGGTGTTGTGAAAAAAATCTATAGACTTAGGCACAGACATTGCCCCAAGCACTGCACATTTTCTCTTTACCCATTCTGGCATCACTGACAAACTTTCTAACATACCAAAAGCTCATTAGGTTTTGTTCAGTTTTCTGCTAATACTAAATCCTTCTACAATCAACAAAAAGTGCAAAGAGTTTCTGACAAGGAAAATGGACTAAAAGTACAGGAGTTAGAGATAGAGAATGTTTTATGTTGCAAGTTTTAATTACAAGACTATAAAACCAGCTCATCTAAATTAAGACAAATGGAATACCTCATCTCCCAAGTGGCTATAAATTAAATGGTGTGGTTTGTGTAGCAAAATGAAAGCAAAGCCCTGGAGTAGTTTTGCCTTTAGTCAATCACCAGTAATTCCTACCAAATCAGAAGAACACGAAAACAATTTAAAAGAAGTTTATAATTAGACTAAAAGCAGCAATGACAAGCAATATAGTTCACATGTTTAAGCAGATATATATGGTCAACAGAATTCTTACAATACACATCTAGAAATGGCTCCTTATAGAGACAAGGACAGGTCCTTGTCATTCTATGTTCTCCCACATATGCACTGTCCAAAATTCAAAACGGCACCTTCATTCAAGCTCTCAAATGAGAAAGCATAAACAGACAGATGTGAGATGGTCTTTAGAGCAAGCATGTCCTGGGGTATCAAAAGTCAGCAGTCTGAGGGGCCAAGAGACCTGCTGAAGGTTCTCAAATTTCTGCATAGGTTAAGAATCACTAGGGTTCCTGCTAATACACATATTCCTAGGCCCACTGTCACTCCTGAGTGAACCTGGCTAGAATGGCACCCCATTCTGGGAAATACTGCTTTATCCAATCACCTGCTTTTCCAGGGATGTGCTTTACAAAAACCATCATAATCCTCCTAACACCGTTATGATGAAGAGTACCAATGAACACAGACAGTTCACTGGCAAACATTAGAGCAGGGACCCTAACCCATGTTGGTGTCATCCTGCCTCTCTCACACCTGTCAAGGTTCCTCAGTAGTCAGTACTGATTAACAAGACAAGGCTAAGATGCCAAGCGACACAAAAGATTCCTGTGGACTAACCAGCTGGTAAAGACTTGGATTCAGCTTAAGTGAGGGTAGCAAGGAAGGCAAGAGGACATTTTAAGCCAGCAAAGAGCACGAAAAGGCACAAAGGTGGAAAAACAAGCATGGCTGGAACAATGAGCCTAAACATGGGTAGTCTGGAAAAAGATGAGAACAATGAGTGCAAGATGGAATTAAATCCACTCAGGTTAACAATAAACCTTTCACTAGTTCTGCGGACTGAACCTTACTTGTAACTATTATTACTAGCTCCATTTTACAACAGTATTATGTTCTTAAAAGAACAAACACTACTAATCTCATTACTATTACCATCATGCACACACAAATACACACACAC